GGTTTGGATTTTGGAGCATTCCAAGTTTAAGATTTTGGCTTAGGGATTCTCAGCATTATTGAAATCTTTGCATATTATTATTAAATTGTTTCTCCTTTCAGTTCTGTCAGCTTTTTAAAAAAAATTCTTCAGCTTTTATTGTGTGCTTTGGGGTTTTAACGTTAAGTATGTATACATTTATATACTGTATCTGCACAACGTTTTGAGCTTTTCATTTTGAAATGGTTCTTTATGCATCTAGAAGCCTTAAAGTTTGTTTTGTCTGATATTAATAGAGATATTCTAACTCTCATGGTTACTATTTTCGTAATTTATTCTTTTCTATCCTTTTTGCATGCTGTGTGTCTTTTCACAACAGGGAATCTTGTAGACACCACAGTCTTTCTTTTTTATTCAGTCTTGTGGGCTATACTTTTTGATTAGGCCAGGCATCAGCAGACTTTTTCTTTAGTAACTATGTTAGGCTTTTTAGGCCTTACAGCCTCTTATTCAACAATACAACTTTGCTGCTGTAGCAAAGAAGCAGCCTTAGAGAGTATCTAGTAAGTGTGGCTTTGTTCCAATAAAATTCTTATAGACCCTGAAATTTGAATTTCATGTAATTTTCATGTGTCACAAAATATTATACTGTTTATTTTTTTAACCAGACATTAATATAAAAACCATTTTTAGCTCATGAACCATGCAAAAAGGGTAATGGGCTGGTTTGGCCTGCAAACTGTATTGTAGTTTGCAGTCTCCTGGGATAGTAGGTTTAATCCTTTCACATTTGATGGAGTTATCGATATGTTGGATTTACATCTCATTTGCAGTTTGTTTCTGTTATTAAATTCTTTTGTGTAAAATTCACATTTTTTAGTGTACCAATTTTAATTCCTTTGTTGACCTTTTTAAAAACAGTATTTTTGCAATGATTTTCTTTGATTCCTCCGTGGATCACTGTCTTATCACAGTCTACTTCAAAATAATATTAATTTTGTTAAAATAATGGAAACTTGGCTGTAACTCTCCTTTCTCCCATTCCATTATGCCATTTCATATATATTACATCTATTTGTGTTATATATTATAACCTCAATAATTGTTACAGTTACTGATTTATACCATCTCATGTCCTTTAAAGGAGAAAAAATGAGAAAAGTAATATTTACAGTATTTTACATTAACCTACACATCTGACATTCCCAGTCATCACTATTATTTTCTTTGAATTTTAAGTACTTCCTTTTTATTTTTGGTATCGGGGATCAAACTTGGGACCTTGCCCTTGCGAGACGGGTGCCGGAACCACTGAGCTAAATCCCTGGCCCTGAAGTACTTCCGTTTTGGTATCTTTTTTTAAAGACAGACCCACTATCGTCATTTTTACTCATCCTTTTTTCTCCATTCTAATTTCTTCATGCCAGAGTTGAATCTCCCTAGGTAAGATACTGTTTTATATTTGCATTTTCAGGTGAGGAAGCTGGCCATTGATGTTCAGGTCATTAGGAAATGTTAGCTGCAGTGTGAATTCAGGCAGAGTGGCTCCAGCCTATGCTCTTAATCACTAGGGTGTAACTTACCTTGCTTCATGTTATTTTCACATGTGGTAGTTTCCTAATCATGCTGCCAAGTTTGTAGCACTGGTATCTGTTGCCTAGCAGCTTGCTTTGGGACTTTGGGTCCTGTGGCTAAAGCACAGACACATTTCTTTACCTAGACTGCTTTTATTTATTTATTTATTTTTTTGTAGGTGTGGGCTAGGGTGGTGGTTTTTGGTAACATTAAACTTAGTGGTTATAGAAAGGTCTAATAGGAAAAGAAAAGTCAGTTGGGTTTCCTGATCACTTTTTCCTATTTTTTAGAGTGTGTAGTTACTATTGTTTGTATAATCCTTTGAGACATTTAATGTGTATAGTGAGGCATACAAACACACACACAAATAGATCATCTTTGCATTTATTTTATATCTTGTTCCCTCCCAAGTTTTGTATTTTGAACATTATTCTCCTGTATTGATTATAATTTATCTAGTTCACAGATTTTTGAAGTGTATTATTATTTCCTGAAATTTAGGTTAATTTATTCCAAAACGAATCATGCATGAAAAGTCTGTAGTGATTAAGTGAGCTGCAGAAGCAATTGATCAGTCACGTGATTTTAGGGGAGTTTAGCCTGCCTGAGCCTCAGCTTTCCCATTTATACAATGATAATGTTATTACTACTACTATCTATAAACACCTATGTAGCCTAAGATATGCTAGGCTTTGGTGTAAGGACATCATATATATTATACATTTAAACCCCACAAACTAACCTAAGTTATAGGTACTGTTAACTCTGACTACCAAGTAGAGCTGGGATAGACATGAACTCTGTCTGATTCCCCACTATCATCCTGGTTGGTGCATAGTACCAAATTTACAGGTTTGTAAGGATTAATGAGATACAGTGTATTCAGAGGCCTGAATCAAGACCTGGCACATATTAGACTAATATGTAGCATATTACCAATATTAAGCAGGTAATTAGTAGCTTTTTTAAAAAAACTAAAACTAAAGGAAACATTGTTGTCCACATACCTTTTTTTTTTTTTGCCATGAGTATATATATCCAAAAGACAAATTCCTAATAGGATAGTTACTTGGTTAAAGCATGGTTTAAGCATGAATTAGATTTATTTTTAGTTTTATAAATGTTTAAAGCTTTGAATCTTCTGTGAGCATAGTTTTAGTGTCTGCAGAACCATGTAAATTTTGTTTTACAGCATTTTCATTATACTAGTTTATAGTGTACCATTTTTGTTCATTTTTCTTTTCTTTAACTCAAGAATTATTTAAAGAGGTTTGGTGATTAACTTTTTTTCTTACTTTTATAGCATTATAGTCAAATAATGATGTCTTTCTGATTTTTAATTTAAGGTTTTCATCATGGTCTAGTCTGTTGTCATATTTAGTAACTATTCCTTATGTCCCATCTCCCCCCTCCCCTTTTTACTGGGGAATCAAACATCCGCAGTCCTTTTTATTTTCTAATTTTGAAATAGGGTCTTGCTAAATTGCCCAGGCTCGGCTCAACTTGCCTTTTTCACTATATTGTCAATTTCACTAATAGTGCAAAAGTATAGATGGATAAAATTGATGGCTCCTTACCATCAATCAAGGAAGTGGCACCCAATTGTAATGATAGTTAACTTTAGTAGTAGTAAGTAGTAGTAATATGTTCTTTACTGCCAAGTAGTTTGGTGAAAAAGGAGAAAATTCTAGTTACACTTAAGATTGCTATTGATGGGGCCAGGGATTGGCAGCCTGCCTCGCAAGCGCAAGGTCCTGAGTTCAATCCCTGGTACCAAAAAAATATTGCTATTGATGAAGCTGTAAAAATACTAATTTTTAAAAATCTTTACGTTGAGTACACATTTTTGGAATCCTTATTATGAAATTGATATGTTTGAAAAGTTCTTACTACATGTTAATAAAGAAAGGGTATCTTGAGGGGAAATACTTGGCATTATTTCAGTTGGTGAATGCACTCGGTACTTTTTTCACAGAAAACCACTTTTACTTAAAAGAACAATTACCATCTGTAGTGTGATTGTTCAGTTTAGTTTCATTGATTTCTCATAAATGATCAACGTGAGCCTGTCCCTTCTATGCTGTGCTAAAGACACAGTTCAAACTTTTAAGCAAAAATTACGGTTTAAGAAAACTTACATCTCTCACTGTTATTGCTTCCCAGTACCTAAGGACGTTTTAATGAGATCCTGGTAATACATACTCAAATATTTTTTTTTGATGTTGTAGATATCTTAATACACAGTGTTGCAAATCATGTATAAATAAAAGAGTGACTCAAAATGCAAAATACACCAATGGAATTGAATATGATAGAGTAAAAAAAAAATTCATGTCATAGTTTGATTTTTCAGTGCAATGTAACTTTTAAGCAACTATAACTTACCAAGTTTTTGTATGGTATCAAAGGAAATGTTCAGTTATGTGAATACGTTATTAAATAAAATGTCTTCCTACTGTTTCCAGCTGTATCTCTGTAGCCGGCTGTATTTCTTCTTACACTTGTACTAAAAGTATTGTAAGAGATTTAATGCAGAAGTGGATGTGAGACCAGCTGTCTTCTCAAAGAAAGAAGAAGTTTTCAGTAATGTAAAATAGCTCCACTTCTCTCACTGTTGTTGGAGAAAGTATAGATATTTTTCATGAAAGTAGTATTTATGTTAACATGTAATGAATATATTGTTGTAATAAAATGAATTAGTAATTAAATATTTTTGATTCTCAGTTTTAATTTCTAGTAGGGTAAATTTTAATAGCTACAACTCATAAAACAAAGTTTTCTGTGGTATTAAAACTTTTTGTGGTCTTCAATAAATTTTAAGAGAGTAAAGGGATTCTGGGACCAGAAAGGTCAAGAATCACTGATTTAAAGAGTAGACTTCTGTCAGGGTAGTTGGTATAGGGAAAAAAATTTGAGCTTTGTATTAAATAGCGAGATTTAAATTCTTTATCTGTTATATCCTAGTAGCAAATTATTAACTTCATTGAGCAAATTTTAGTTCCTCTGAGACTCCAGGTTCCTTATTTGCAAAATGGTGATAATAAAGCTGTTTTGTTTGTTGACGTTAAGGAGTAGTTTGACCTTTTTGCTTTTTTGCATTGTGTGTTACAATGACAGATATGACTACTTGAACTCTTTGTTTAAAAAAGAGGTTGTGAAATTATTTGTGAATGTTATTTTCTGCATACTTTATCTAATACTTCTTTTCTTGAACCATTATACCCATTTTTCAAGAGTGTGTATAAACTTAAAGTTTTACAATTAGAAAGGGAGTAAAACTAATTCAGAACATTTACTTAGGCTTAAGACAGATGGTAATCCTATAAAAAGATGGCATATATTTTTGGAAGTGGAAACAGAAAAACAGATACTCTTAATTCCAGAATGATCTTTGCCTAGAAAATGTAGGAAAGAAATAAATGACCATATGGCCTAATAGAACTTTTTATAGTTTCTAATGTCTGGTATTGAATTTTTAATATTAGTATTGAATTGCATATATATTAGGAGTTGATAAAGAGTAATTTTCTGATTCATAACTGCTAAGTACTTTTCCTGTGGTTACCAGTCTTTGGTTTTCTGTGTTATGGATGTGATAGTGGGAAGTAGTACCATTTTGACACCAAATTTAGTGGGGTTAATTTAAATGGGAATATTTACCACTTCAAACCCAGTGATTGTGCTGTCAGGGCAGTAATACACATCTTCATGCTTGGATAGGAGGTGGGGTTCTTAGTGAGGCACCTTCATATTCAGCTTAATGTTGAAAAGTAGATGGTGTTCCAGATACTTTACTTTTCACAGCTTTTTCAGCAACATAATACTTGATAGTAAGACTATTTTAAAATTACTTTTTTTATGGAATTGATCTCCCCAATCCCCTGATTGGCTATGTGAATGGTTTTTAGCAAATATTTCATACAGACTCATGTACCTACCAACCAAATGCTATCTGTAATGAGAAGTGAACATCTGTCACTCTCTTCCTTCAGCTCCTCCCTTATGTTGCCATTATGTTTTTAGTGCATTTATTTTACAATTTATCCATTCATTAAATCTGCTACTGAATCAGGAGATTATAAATAGGTTATTAGTCTGCATATTCCCACACAGTGTTGTGCTTGTTGGAGGGTAAAGGCGGAATGAATAAATGAATGTGATTATAGTTATGCTGTTGTCTTCTGCTGAGTGGCGCTTAAGCTACTAGGTGAAGATGCTGCAGGCCTACTTCTTCCTCTTCTAGGCACTGAGTGTATGAGAGCAAATGAGCTCTGTTTTCAAGAAATTCCTGAGTATAAAGCAACATTTCTAGATAACACAGATTATGGAATTATTTTTATTTATTTTTAAAGATGTTTAAGTGTTTAAAATATGTAGTTGAAGAAAGGACTTAGCTTGTTGTTCTCCCAGTTGTATTCATTTCCTTTGTTGAATGTTTTGCTGGCACAGACTGATGAGTGGTCAGGGGAGAAGGGAAGAAGGAGGAGTCAGAATTAGTGCTGAGGATGAGCATGGATCTTTATAGAGTTAGAAAAGATAGGAGCACTGGCCTGTACATTAAGAATAGAGCAAAAAAGCAAGGTGCAAGAAAGAAAGATAGACAAAGGTTTGTTTTTAAACAGCATCAAATACCGAATGCCCATTATGTGACAGATACTGTTCTATTCTGCAGGATAAAAAATAAAATAAATCCGGTGCCTGTGTTGCGAGCGCAAGGTCCTGAGTTCGATCCCTGGTACAAAAAATAAATAAATAAAATAAAATCCCTGTCCTGACAGAGCTGACATTCTTAAGAAAAGTCTTGGACATTCTTGTCCAGAAACTAAAGGATTAAACTGTGAGTAAAATAAAACCTTGGTGGAAAGTTTTACTTGAAAAATAGTCTCCTTTTATAGATATTTAAATGTGTTTTGTTTTGTTTTAGAAAATGGCTCCAAAGGTTAAATGAAGCTGGAAAAACACACAGATGCAGCATTGAAGCCTCTCCAGATGTTTGGGGATAATATTCCAGAGAGAAAATTGATCCCTGTGGATTAAGTAACTAGTCATAATGAAGAAAATTAGTCTTAAAACCTTCCGAAAGTCTTTTAACTTGAGTAAAAGTAAAGAAGAAACTGATTTCATGGTAGTACAACAACCATCAATAGCCAGTGACTTTGGAAAAGATGATGCCTTGTTTGGTAGCTGCTATGGTAAAGATATGGCCAGCTGTGATATCAATAGTGAAGATGACAAAGGTGGGAAAAACAGATCAAAAAGTGAGAGCCTGATGGGAACCTTAAAAAGGCGGCTTTCTTCTAAGCAGAAGCCAAAGGGCAAGGGCAGCACACCGTCAGGAAGCTGTGCCGATGAGGACACCTTCTCCTCCTCCTCAGCCCCCATCGTCTTCAAAGATGTCAGAGCGCAAAGGCCGATCAGGTCCACTTCCCTCCGCAGTCATCACTACAGCCCCACGCCCTGGCCTCTCCGGCCCACAAACTCCGAGGAGACATGCATCAAAATGGAGGTCAGAGTCAAAGCCTTGGTTCACTCTTCCAGCCCGAGTCCTGCATTGAATGGTGTTCGAAAGGATTTTCGTGACCTTCAGTCTGAAACTGTATGCCAAGAGCAAAATAATTCTCTTAAAAGTTCTGATTCTCCCAATGGAGATTTACATCTCCACCTGGATGAACATGTGCCTGTAGTTATTGGACTTATGCCTCAGGACTACATTCAGTATACCGTGCCTTTAGACGAGGGGATGTATCCTTTGGAAGGATCACGTAGCTATTGTCTGGACAGTTCTTCACCCATGGAGGTCTCTGCGGTTCCTCCTCAAGTGGGAGGGAGCTCTTTTGCTGAAGATGAGAATCAGGTAGACCAGGACCTAGTTGTTGCCCCAGAGATCTTTGTGGATCAGTCTGTGAATGGTTTGTTGATTGGCACCACGGGAGTCATGTTGCAGAGCCCCAGAGCAAGTCATGATGATGTCCCTCCACTTTCACCTTTGCTACCTCCAATGCAGAATAATCAAATCCAAAGGAACTTCAGTGGACTCACTGGCACAGATGCCCATGTGGCTGAAAGTATGCGTTGTCATTTGAATTTTGATCCTAATTCTGCTCCTGGGGTTGCACGAGTTTATGACTCAGTGCAGAGTAGTGGTCCCATGGTTGTGACAAGCCTTACAGAGGAGCTGAAGAAACTTGCAAAACAAGGATGGTACTGGGGACCGATCACACGCTGGGAGGCAGAAGGGAAACTAGCAAATGTGCCAGATGGTTCTTTTCTTGTTCGGGATAGTTCTGATGATCGTTATCTTTTAAGCTTGAGCTTTCGTTCCCATGGTAAAACACTTCACACTAGAATTGAGCACTCAAATGGTAGGTTTAGCTTTTATGAACAACCAGATGTGGAAGGACATACATCTATAGTTGATCTAATTGAGCATTCAATCAGGGACTCTGAAAATGGAGCTTTTTGTTATTCGAGGTCTCGGTTGCCTGGATCTGCAACTTACCCTGTCAGACTGACCAATCCAGTGTCACGGTTCATGCAGGTGCGTTCTTTGCAGTACCTGTGTCGTTTTGTTATACGTCAGTATACCAGAATAGACTTAATTCAGAAACTGCCTTTGCCAAACAAAATGAAGGATTATTTACAGGAGAAGCACTACTGAAAGATTGAGAACCCTGCATCGTGCACTTTGGGAAAAAGAAAAAGAGATTGAAATACAGTTTACAAACTTTCATTGCCATCAGAATACTTTTGCTGCCATAACTATTTTAGTTTTCTGTGTAATAGTCACCAATTTGTTTAGGGGTGGGGAAGTGTCTGCAAGGTGTCTGGTTTATTTTGATTCTTTCAAAAGGGATGTCTTGATGTTCTAGAAGTGTGAATTATCTTTCATTAATGTGTAGAATAATCACAATGTGAATTATCAGATTATTATTGCCCCCCCAGTCCTTTGCTGCTATCCACTGTGATTTTTATGCATTAAAAGCACATTTCATGTGTATTCAACCCTAAGTGAAGTTGAATGAAGCTTATAGAATGAAAATTGCTTTGTCTTTTTAAATGACCCATTTTGAGAAGATAATATTGCATAAATGTGTGTAATAAAACAATTTACATATACACTGAACATGAGCTTTTAAAATCTCATACTTTAAAAAGATTTATTCAGATTTATGAATTGACATAATCTTGGTTAATGGAATGCAAATCTGCAACATCTTTTACAAAACTTTTCTAAATTATTTTTAAGGTAGTGCTTTTTTTTTTGGTTGTGAAAAGCTGAATTTTTTGTTGCCTTCATTTTCATCTTGTACTTTGTGTATTTTAATAATGGCCTTACATTAAAAAATTGTAAAGGAATATATACCACCAATTTAGAAATTGTTGCCTTTTCTGTCATTAAACTCGGGTACAAATTGGCATAAAGACCTATGGAACTAGAACTATTACTACAGAAATGTGACGATCATAGTTTCCTGTGATAGGGCTTTTTGTTATGTGTACTTTCTTTTGGTTAAATGTTTTATCTGCAGTTTCTTTAGTCAGTATTTTTTTTGAGTGAACTTGATTGTACAACCAATTTTTATAAATGGACTGGAGTCTTTTACAACATTAAAGTTTTAAATGGATTTGAATGTAAAGAAGAGATTATTTTAAAATTGAATTTAATTTTTTTTATGTAGTTGCTATTAAATTGTGCTAGATTTGTCCTCTTCTCAGTAAAAACAGCCCTTAATGAGTTTAGCTGAAAAATTCTGAAAATTGTGGAACATCATGTCAGAAAAATACTAAGCCCATATCAGGTATATGGAAGTTTTGTTTCCTGCCAGATATACTGCCACTGAAGAATAAGGTTTTTGATTTTTAAATTAACTACATTTTAAGTAATTTGGCATCTCTCTGGTGTTTTACCTCCTTGGTATTCAGTCTTTGGGATGTTATACCTAATAATTTTTAAATACAGACCATTCATTTATTTCACAGTTCTGCAGTGTAGTATCTTAGGATTTTCCTGTTTAGAATATGTTTCCAGCTACACAAGCTTTTAAGGAAAATGTTTCCATCTTAGATGGACATGAAATTTGTTGATGTTTCTTCTTTTGTCACTTCAAGTTTTTCTTTTACCTCTTAAACAGAGTAAAAGTATTCAGTCAAATTTACTGGCTCTTATCTTTCAAACATACCTGTATTCTCAGTTTTTTCTGTGTTTTCTTTTTAGGATCAGAACTGAAATATTGCCAAGAAAAGGCACAATGCCCTAATATCACGGTGTTACGATACTTTGACCCAAAAAGGGAAAGGGACCTAATTTTGGTGGGATGTTGATTGTACCTTGTTACAAAGTCTCCTCTTCATTTTTTGATGTTTTCACCTAATGAGATAGAATACAGAGTGTGCTATAATATAATGTAAGTGTTCGCTATAAGCTGTTTGGATTAAGAACTATTGCCGAGTTGTAAGCTTGTTATCAAATTAATGCAAGACATTTAACTATTTTTTTGCAAAATTATTTATTTTTAAGCAACTTAAAATATGTGTAGGGTGAGTAGAAAGTTCCTGTGCATCTACGTTAGATGGCAGGTGTTGTCAGAGTCGCCGTGTATTAATGGTAAATGTCAAGGTGGCAACTCTGTCTCCTGAAGCATTTAAATATCCTCCTGTGAATACATGGTGCAGAGTCTGGACTCTGTGAGCCTGTCTCTCACATGGATGTAGCCTAATCTCTACATTTTCTCATGCTGCCATACATTTAAAATCTACCCATTTAGTTTTAAGATTGTTCTTATTTTCATCTGAATGTTTTAAAAACTGTGTTTTGTATTTTTTGGAGGGCAAGTGTGGATACTGTTGTAATTCAGAAAGCCAATTTTTGATGTGCTTTTCTGTATGCATAATACAAAATACCTTTGTAAAGTAATACGCTCTATTTTAATCCAATTTGAAATTATGTGTTGATTATATATTTGCCAAAAATTAAATTTACAAACAAAGTTGTATGCAAAATTTTCTGAGTTTGTGTAGAGAGGCAGCCAGTTGATAGGGAATCTTCCAGTTATAATGTAGAAGATTGACTTTCTGTGATACAACAGTCTGGTGAAATATGGAAATGGAGGAAAGAGATCATCCTGTAGCTTGGTCTAGGTGCAATTTGGTTAAATTTTTAGATTCTGTTTAATGGTAACTTAGATGATAGGAACAAAACCTAGAAGTGATTCTTAAATAAATACTTTTAAAAATCTGAGTTTAAGGTAAGAAACAAAGAAAACAGGAGAGCTATATCCATGTGCCACAGTAAGTGAATCAGAGGTGTTTTAAAATCAAATATTTCATCACAAAACATGATGGAGGCTGGAAGCTATTTTGAAGTTTACTAGGACACTATGCATTTTCGTAATTAATAAGAAAGCTATAGAAAGTACTTGAAAAATATCTTTCTTAGTGCAATAATCTAAAAATTTAGAAGGTCACATTTTACCACAGGAAATGATCATAGAACTAAAAACAGTTTTAAGGAAACCAGCTACACAGGGCAACCCTCTTGCTATTGAAGAAAATCATGTGCCAAAAGGCTAAATCATTGGCATATAGGAAATAAAACACAAAGTAGACATTATAATTTCTGAGCCAGTATTGTTAAAACAAGATAAAAGTTACTAAAATCTTAGATTTATGCAGTGTCTCTGCTAATGCTACAAGTCTTAACTGCTTTCAGGAATGCAAATTTTGATTACATTTCTCATTGTATATGAGATATTGCTTTATGAATGATTCAAAATAATATATTTTGATTTAAACCTTAATTGCTTTTCATTGAATGTGAAGTATTAATTTGAAAATGAAATCACACTACCAGCAATGGATAGTTTTGTTGAATACTCCAAGGAACAATAGCCAGTTCCATAAATAACTTTAAAATTCTAAAGGTATTGGTACGTTAGTAATTACAAATTTGGTTTCTTTTAATACTTTTTTAATCCTGTAGGAAGGTTTTTTTATAAACACCCTTTTTATTGATGAGTCATAACGTGGCAAAAGTATGTAATTGCTGTTTCTGAAAACTAATCCAAACTCTAAATCCAGAGGTGTTGGGAAATTCTTACAGAATTTTGTAATAGTAATGTTGGGTTAAAGAAATTTCATAGTTGTTGGAGTGCCATGAAATTAATACTTGCAATCCAGATTGCTGTAGTTTACACTTTTTCTGTATGTTTCAAATCAGGTGTGTACCATTTGTACTGAGAACACCACAGAATGAACTATCCAAAGTCCATTGATTTTAATATGTGTTTTGGTTTGTAAACAAATTATAGTAATTTCTTGCACATTTTTGGAAATTAATTATATAAGAATTTATGTATCTGCTTCTAGATACAGTGTGTAAATAAAAATTTCATTCACAAGATCTGCCTTATAGTTTATTTGATATACTCATGTAGTGTCTGATATTAATAAGCATCTGGTTAGCTAGATAGTTTCTGGATGTCTCATGAACTGGGCAGATACTAGAGAGTGGGAGCTAATATATTTTAGTAAAAAGAGAAGAAAATTATGTTCCAAAAGGAAGATGTCAAACAAATTAAGAGTCAGCCAATGGTGATAATATACCAAAGGATTCAACATAAAGGTTGGGGTGAATTAGAATATCACAATAAACAAAAACTAAATTGAAACTAACACAGTAACGAAACCTTACTAAAAGGCTGAGTGATAAAATATTTGGATTCTGACATTTAAAAAAATTATGTCCCCTGTTAGTGTTTCATGGAAATAGAACAAGTCATTTAAGTGCATTTTGCAGAGGTCATTTAGAAAACCTTTCATAGATTTCTCATGTATACTGAATTCCATGTGTGTAAAATTAAGCATCAGGTTAAATTTCCTTTGAAATTTTGTCCTATTTTTAAATATTTAAAAACACGAATATTTCAAAGGTAAATTTTAACTGATCTTGTCCAGAATATAGTGCAGATTTTGACATTATTAGAATCCAAATAATGTGGACCTCCACATTTTTTAAAGCAGCATTGCTATTAATGTCATACTTGGACTGCTGGTGATAGTGCTAATTAATAGATTATCAGACAATAGTTATGCTTTAACAACTATGGAAAAGACTTAAACTGGGCAGGTAAACAAAAAATTTTAATGACCACAGTGTTTATTTTCTTTGATATACATAAAATATTCCAAGAATATAATGGTATAACACTCTTAATTTCCAGGTCCTTTGACAAAGAGCCCCACATGAAGTCAGAATGATTTGCCAAAATAATAACTCTATGATGTGATTAATTCATATCAGCTCTCAAGACTTTTAACCAAATAATAAGTAGCTGTATGCTACAGGTTAGCCAATAATAGTAATTTCATTGAATGCTGTGTCCCCCCACCCGCAGTACCAGGTTTCAAACTCAGGACCTTGCACTTCCAAGGTAGGCATGGCACCACTAAGCTAAATCTCCAGCCCCTGTTTTACTTTTCTTGTTCCTGAGAGAAAATACCCGACACAAAACGTTAAAGGAGGAAAGGTTTATTTGGCTCACAGTTTGTAGTGGTTTCAGTTCACAGTTGGCTACTCCAAGGCAGGGTGGTATGGCAGAGTGGCCTAGCAAAGCAGAAACAGTTGATGGCAGGCAGAAGTCAGCAAGGTAGCAGGCTACAAGCAGCAACTCTGTGTCCCTTTATTTGGGCTACCTGTCCTTGGGGCAGGTAGCACTCACACCCAGGTTGGGGCACCCTTAATCCTACCCAACCTGTGCCAAAACAATCAGTGGACTAATTTAGTAATCACACACCCTTGATCCCAGCATTACACACTCCAGATCCAGCCACCTCTGAAAAGCCCACCTTTGACTGCATGAGGCTTTGGGGGGACATCTAGACACAAGCCATAGCAAATGCCTTACATGATCTGACATGAAAGATAAGACTGAACTTATAGTGGCACAGAATTGGATGCAGGAGGTACAGCTATGCAGCCTATTCCTTGGCTGACTCATCCAGGATGTGTTCAAGAGAATGGTGCAACTTGTAACCAGCCCCAGCATCTTCTGAAACTCCACCCAGTGTAGTCACAAGATCTGTGGGAAAGCAAAGGCACTGCATGAGATGGATGGCTATTGTCAAAAGAGCAAAGAGCAAAAATGATAAAGACCCCAGTGAGTCCTCCCCGCCCTTGAAGGTGAAAGTGTTCATTACTATGATCCAGAGCACTTTAAGACTGTTGTGGATGAGCCAAAGGTGAGGGTCTAGACGTGGAGGTAGGAGATTGTCCTTGAAATGCAACCCAGGCAGTACTCAACAGTATGGATGGCTTGGTGGACAAAGATGGCTTCATGATTGTCAGTGAAGTTTTTGTTCACCACCAGAGGGAGGAAGGAGGGAGTTGCTGAGGGCAGCCTTGTTTGTGGGAGGTGCTTGCAGTCATAGACGTTCACCTCTAAGGAGGGTGAGAGTAGATACACATGGGTCTATAAGGTGAAAGACCTGCTGCTACCATGGCTGATGATTCACTGGAAGCACTGAGGCAACCTCAGGATTTCCCAAAATTATCATCAAGCTTACCATAGCCACTTACACACTTAAATTCATAACCTTTTCTTTCCTGTGATAAATTTTACTTTTGCTTTTCATAGACTATTAACTTTCTGGATCAAAGATGATTTAACCTCTTGTTCAATTGAACTTAGATTTACTAGAGTCTGCTATTTTGGCCTCCAATATATTTTTTCCTTTACCTTTACTTAAAAAAGAAAGAACTTTATTTTTTAAAATTTCCCTGTAAAAGCAAGGTATGGCGGCGCATGTCTGTAATCCCAGTGCTTGGGAGGCTCAGGCAGGAAGATCACCATGAGTTGGAGGCCAGCCTAGGTTACATAGTTCAAAGCCAACTTGGACTACATAGTGAGACCCTGTCTCAAAAAGCAAAACCTAACCAAAACAAAAAAAGTCCCTGTAGTTTTCTTAAGTTTTTTTTTTTTGTATTTTATTTCAGTTTCCAGTTCGAAGGGTTACCTAACGTGAACCATATTTTTAAAGAAATAAGAGTTTTATTTTTTCCTCCTCTTACATGACTTATTTGCTAATAGATACAGAGCTGCTTTGGCACTTGATCCCTCCTCCTCTTCACCCCAGGACAGTTTTCATAGACCTTCACCTGTGAAACTTCAGCAGGGCTTTATTCTCAGGCCGTCTGTTCCTTTATGAAAGCAGATTTGATAGAGTGTAAGTATTGGTTTATGACATTTACACAATTTGGTTTTCATAGGAAGATCAGTCATGAACTCCAAGATAGAACCATTGGCTTTGAGAGGTTAAAATATACCTTTTACATGTTAGGATTTGGTTACCAGAGAAGTTAACCCCCTGGGAACGCCCAAGCCTGACACTGGCAAAGAGCCAATAGCAGCAACTGAAAAAGCAATTTATCTCAGCACAACTGAGCTTTGCAGCCAGGTTCCTAGAACCAATTTTGTATGAGGCTGCATTTCTTCCTACCTAAAACCATACGCCTTACCACCACTTCTGGAAGAGTCATGGGAGTATCCCCTTGGGAAAGACTCCCTCAGATTATAAAAGCTAAAGAAAAACTGCCTAGAGCAAGGATTATTTCAACACAGTTTATGAACAGGGCAAATTTCTTTGCCTAGAGATAATTTTGAACTGTCCTATCCCTAGTAATTTTAGCTAGCAAATAGGACAAATCTTTAATTGAGAATTAAAATTCTCTTTGTTTATGACCCATGGACCTCCCCATACTAAGAGATTCCATGGAAACATAGATCTGTATCATGGGTTTTTCTGGTATCTCACTTGGTTCCATGCATCTAAGGTTCCACTCAGAGACACTAAGATTTGATTGTAGCAGACTAGGTCACAAGGTGAATTTTTACAGTTCTCTTAAATCCACTGAATTCCATCATAGAGTCTGGAAAGAAATCCCTCTTTGTTTGTGTGGATCTGCCTCTTTATTTAAGAAATAATCTTCTTTCTGGCCTTTCTTCATCCTTAATAATTTTAAAATCTGACATCTCTGACCTCCATTGAAGTATGTAATTGCAAAGCCACCTAATCACCTAATTCCCAGGATACCCCATTTTTCTCTCTCCACTGTTGTACTTAACATTTTATCCTATATTCTTGTGGTTGGCAAGTGGTGAACACCATTTGGCCAAGAGAGTTATCAAACTAATACTGTCTTTGAGATGTGACAAGTTCCTAGAAAGCTAATAGATGCATATTTTCAAATAGAACAATCTTTTGCTCTGCTATAGGCTGAAGTTCATCTGGAATCACAGGGATCAACAGATGAAACTGGAGAGCTGGATTTTGCAGTAATTCTTAGTAATGGCACACACATAATTGTTCTTGATATACAGTATATGCTAACCCTTAACATAGGTAACTCATCTTCAAAAAAACCCTATGCAAGGCAGGCACCCTTATTTTATAGATAAGGAAACTGAGGAACAGAAGTGGACCTCCCAAAGGTTGAAAAGGTAAATGATGGAGCCAGATTACAAACTCAAATCTGATTCCAAAATCAAAGCTCTCATTCACTGTTATTCTTTCTTTTTTTGGTACCAGGGATTGAACTCAGGTCCTTGCGCTTGTGCAGCAGGTGGCAAAACCACTGAGCTAAATCCCCAGCCCCATGTTATTCTTCTTCTAGTTTTATATTAAATAAATAATTTATTTCTGTGATTATCAGGGAAAAGTGAGTCACCTGCAATTTTCTCCTCCAGGGAACTAGTGCATTCTGTAGCTTAAAAAAAATCCATAGTATGGATAATGATAGAGGGGACCATTTATGGAGGCTTGACTGATAGCTTAGCTGATGGGATTAATCTTTTATTGATGAGGAAAGAGAACACTACTTTCCCTTTATCGCTTTGCAAAGGTTCAATTAAAAAGAAAACTGCCTAATATAAAAATGAGAGAACAAGTTTTGGTGAAATTTAGTTGTAATTCTTGAGAGAAGGACTTCCCCACATGATTGGCACATAAGAAAAAGTGCTAAATCTGCTTTTTTGGTAATGTATTTAGTCAACTGCCTGAGACTTTTTTTTTAAACCAGCAACTAGAGTTTTACGATTTGCAGCAGACCAAAGACTCCACACATCTTCTTTTGACTTTCCTGTATTCTGCTCAGCCAGTTCTCTTCTACTTCCTATCATTTTGTTATAAGCACACCGGGAGCAAGCACTTCCTTTCAGGAACAGTTCTAGCTACACTCTATATATACAATGTTCTGTCTTCTCTGCTTGCATCTAAGTATGAAAATTAGCCACCTGTGTTCATAGGGCTTGATTGTAGTCGTTATGTTAAATCTACAGGAAAATTTCCCTTTTCATTTCTGTACTGGGAAGAAGCAATTTATATTATGCCTAGCTTAATATCATT